GCCCGGTCGGGCGGCGGACGGGCCGGCGCTGGGCCTGCGGGCCCGCGTCGGTGGGAGGCGGCGGTGATGTGGGCACGCTGCCATGTGGCGATGCGGGATAGGCTGGAGGCGGCGGGGCAGACACGTCCGGCTCGCGCGGACGTTGTCTGGCGGCGGTCGAGAGGTTTTTAGGGTTTCGGGGAGAGGGAGAGATCCGAAAATGGAGGGGTCTATATATAGGCATAAGTGGAGCTAGGAGAGTCCAAATGAGGTGCGGTTTTCGGCCACGCGATCGTGATCGAACGCTCTAGGACATGGAGCAGAGTTTGGTGGGTTTTGGGCCAAATTGAAGGGGTATTGGGCTGCAACACACATGAGGCCTTTTCGGTCCCTCGGTTAACCGTTGGAGTATCAAACGGAGTCCAAATGATACGAAACTTGACATGCGGTCTACCGGTAGTAAACCAAGGCCGCTTGGCAAGTCTCGGTCCAATCCGGAAATGTTTAATCCCCACACACGAAAGAAGGCTAGAAATGGCCACCGGAGGAGAACGAAGCGCCGGAATGCAAAACGGACAACGGGGAAAATGCTCGGACGCATGAGACGAACACGTATGCAAATGCAATGCACATGATGACATGATATGCAATGCATGACACGCAAGCAATGACAAGGCAACAACAGCGAATAACTGAACGGCACCTGGCACGTCGGTCTCGGGGCGTTACAAAGCACCTCTTCCCATTGCAAGATAAATAGATCAAGTTGGCCAAACAAAACCTAAATATCAGAGAAGAAATACGAGTCTATAAGCAATCATGCATAAAAGAGATCAAAGAAACTCAAATACTTTCATGGATATAAAAAGAGATAGATCTGATCATAAACTCAAAGTTCATCGGATCCCAACAAACACACCGCAAAAGAGTTACATCATATGGATTCCAAGAGACCATTGTATTGAGAATCAAAAGAGAGAAAGAGAGGGAGGGAGAGAGAGAGAGAGGAAGCCATCTAGCTACTAACTACAAACCCGAAGGTCTACAAAGAACTACTCACGCATCATCGGAGAGGCACCAATGGAGGTGGTGAACCCCATCCGAGATGGTGTCTAGATTGGATCTGGTGGTTCTGGACTTTGCGGCGGCTGGATCAATATTTCGTCGACTCCCCTAGGGTTTTGGGAATATTGGGGTATTTATAGAGCAAAGAGGCGGTCCGAGGGGCACCCGAGGTGGGCACAACCCACCAGGACGTGCCTGGGCCTCCTGACGCGCCCTGGTGGGTTGTGCTCTCCTCGGAGCACCCCCCAGGCGCAGCCAGGGCCCATTATGTTCCTTATGGTCCAAAAAAATCTTTGTAAAGTTTCTGGCATTTGGACTCCGTTTGATATTGATTTTCTATGATGGAAAAAACAGCAACTGGCACTTGGCACTTGGCACTATGTCAATAGGTAGTACCAAAAAATGACTATAAAATGATTATAAAACATCCAAGATTGATAATATAACAGCATGGAATAATCAAAAATTATAGATATGTTGGAGACGTATCACCTATGTCGTATATATTGATGGCAGGTACCAAAAATTAAAAGGTTTCTTCGCTGTAATTGGAACAATGAAGCTTTATATTTTTTCGATGCCCACTGGTGGGTTAAATTTTTTGATGTAGCATTTCTCTGCCTAAATTATTCGCTGCCACTAAATAGATTGCATAGCAATATATTCTCGGTAGTCTTCGTAAACCCTGGGTTGTATATATGATCTATATATGGCAATTATTAATCCGGATACAATACCCTTGGTCATCTGAAAGCACCAACCACCAAACAAGTAACTGATGAGGTTTACATGCACCTGTTAATATCCATAATGTGATTGTTTTATCTACATGTGTTGCTTTTTTGCTGGTTTGTTCTATTTTAAATGTCAGTTCCTTCACGGCAACATCAAATAATACCCAAAGCACACTACTTGGTACAAATAGGAGAGTGGAAGGGGCGCGTCCTACCTGGCATCGCCCCAGCTCTCTCAGGAGGCGCCATAGGGTGGCGCCTAACATTCTAACTATGCATTTTATGTGTTTTGATTTTGATTTGATCATGTTTATTATGATTCCTTTTTTCTAGTAGCTTTGAACTAAACATCCAAGTTGAGATAAGTCATTTGTTTATGAAACATATGTTTTGTACATGTATTACTATCCTATTCATGTGTGTTTTCATATTCATGGGAACTAAAGGAACACTTTTATGATCGAGTAAGCAACAGACACGCCTGATAAATTTCTCTATAAAAGATCAATGGAATCTTAAGGTACAAATCATGTTTCTCTGTATTTGCCCGCCGCTTGGACAAACGTTGGCGGGGAGGGATATTCTTGTGTCTCGGCTCTGGCTAGTAGTTTAGGTTAAGCATTTTTCTCACAGGGGTGACATTTTAACGGATGACGGTGCTTCATTTTTTAGTTGGTCTGCTGGGCTCCGATCCTCCTGGAGTCCGTCCATTGGGACGAAGTCGACGGAGGCTGGACGTAGATGCATGACGTCTCCTTAGAGCAATGAGGTTAGGGCTTCTCTTTGTGTGTGCACGCCAATGAGATTTGGTGCCAGGCGCTTGAGATCAATCCAAGAGTTCAATGGCAAGGACCGCGGCTCTGGGGCACTAGTCCTTAGGAGCACGTGCACGAAGATTTCCTAACTGTCATCAATAAGGTCAACTCGAGTTATGACAGCGGCAATGGTAGTTCAGTGGTGCAGAGTCCTTGATGCAATTTTATTTCTGTACGGTGTTTTGTACTTCTTATGATCCTTTATAATAGACTAGCAAAAGAGACCATGCGTTGCAACGGGAGAAAAAATACCACACTCCCCTAATCCAATAACCATGAGCCAAGACCCCAATAGATCCACGACATCTGTTTCAACATGTGGCATCACATATATGTTACCACTTATCCTCCTTCTCACCCTTGTCGGCGGTGGCCTTAGTGCTCACAAAATCACAACACGTTTGAATGCTGCAATCCTAAGGCGTCTCTCTCTCGGCGTAAGATGAGAAATTTGTTTTCCTCTTGTGTGGTTTTGATGAGACGTGCATGCGTGGTTATAAATGATTTTTTCATCTCCAGTCCTGGTTTACTGAGGCGTTCATTTTCAATATAGATTGGCGTGGTGTGAAAGAAAGATGGATCATGCGCTATCGATTAGGTTGCACCCTAAATAGCATTATTAAAATGGGTAAGAGGTAAAATGACATCATAGTTAGATTCGACACATTTTCTAATAAAACTCCATATATACCCTGTTAAATTTGGAGCCAGGATTCAAAAGTTATGAATTTTTTAAAAAGTATTTGATATGTACTATGGATTGATTAACCCAATTATCGGGGATTTTTTGCAAAAGCGAAAATCCGACTTAAAACTGACATGATAGCTGATTATCAGAAACATCAGGGAATTTTATGCAAAAGTAAAAATCTCACACAAAACTGGACTGCAGGTCGATTACCAGAAACATCATTTTTTTGGCAAAATATGACAGACCAAAAATACCTATTTTCTTTATTAGTAATATATATATATATATATATATATATATGTATAATAGATTTGGATTCTTTTTGGCAAAAGAAATTATATTTCTCTTCATTTGTCACGGTACACAATATAATGAAGCATGGCGATGAACGACCACAAATTTGATGAACATGGTTTCATATGCACCCCTTATAAATAGTAAATTAAAAATATTAGAAAAAGTCAAAAATATATTTTTCTTCTAACATGCATAGTCAACCGATAAACTCACACACGAAGTTTCACGAAAAATGACGCCCACAAAAATCTGGGAAAAAATGATAAAACTGAAGCTATATTTGAAAAATTATATGATGAATAGTATGGCCCCAATTGTATTTTTTAACATGTGTTAATACTTCACGAAACTTCATGCCTGAGTAGAATGGCCGACCAAATTTAATACCCAAAATTTTAGAATTTTTATTTTTTAAATATTTTTTGAATTTATTGTTCACGTAGGTGTGCATAGAACCATGTTTACCTTTGTATTTTTGGACGATGAACTGCAGAATAACCCTAGAATCGATGACCGTGCTAAAAAAAACATCTGCTGAATCCAACGACAGGGAAGGTACCACGTCACGTGCATGCCCACCCGAGCCCACCATCGAGAATCATGTGATGTTCTTCCCTCGTATTGATCCCCCGCCCACCGTGGAGACCCCTTCCTCTCCACACAAGCACTCCACCTCCTCCGCGGCTTACCAACCTAGCCCGTCACTGACACGCCGCCCCCACCACAGATCCCGGCCACCATGGACCAGGACCTCAAGGACCGGCTCCTCCTCCCTCCCCGCGCCGCCTCGAACGGGCCCCACCGCCGCGGCAAGCCCGCGGCGCCAGGCGGCGGCGGAGGTGGGGGTGGCGTGACGATCGACGTCCACGGCCTGAAGAAGCGCGGCGGCGGGCGGCGCTCGTGGGTGCGGGTGGACGCGGCGACGGGCGCGGCCGAGGCGGTGGAGGTCGCCAAGCCGGCGCTCATGCGGCGGCTCGACCTGCCCGCGCGCGACCTCCGCCTCCTCGACCCGCTCTTCGTCTACCCCTCCGCCATCCTCGGCCGCGAGCGCGCCGTCGTCTGCAACCTCGAGCGGATACGGTGCATCATCACCGCTGACGAGGCGCTCGTCCTGCGCGACCCCGACGCTGACGGCGGAGCCGCTGCGGAGGAGGCCGTGCGGAGGTACGTCGACGAGCTGCAACGCCGTCTCGTGGACTGCGCCGACGACCTGCCCTTCGAGTTCATCGCTCTGGAGGTCGCGCTCGAAGCCGCCTGCTCCTTCCTAGACGCTCAGGTTCCACACAGCGCTCTGCAGACCTTTGCGTTCTACTACTAAGTAATTTACTAGATGGTGTAGAATATAATACTTGTGCTCCTGTCTCAACTAATGGAGTACTCTATTAGCCGGCGTACAGTTTTGGTGCATGATGAGCTTGATAGTTCCGGTCCTTTGGGAGCATGTGATGATTGAATTAATGATGGTTCTCAATTGTTAATTTGAATTCTTACATTGGGCTAGTATTCCATATGGAGTGTGTCATTGCTTAAACTGTGATTAGTTGAACAGTCATATCCTAGTATGATGTACTTAACATCCACAGTTCCACACTGTATTCTGAAAAGAATAGATTTCCTCTTGATCATATTCTATTACTGACAGGAAAGTATCTGATGGTGAAATAAGCTATGGAGTAGATTATCCACCACATAGGAAGTTCAGTTTGCCACGTACCAATGGTCAAATGAGGTTGCGTGTCACCATTTGAATTTTCATCATGCCCAGCCTCTTATCTTAATGACAAATTGACAACTCTATCAAATGTAGCATTGTTCTGTGTCAACCATTGTTGGTCTCAATTTCTTTTACTCTGTTTGGTTTCCAGAAAATTGAATTGACCATAACCGCCAATTATCGATGAAAATGAAGCCACACATTACAAATTTGGTTATCAGCTGACAAATCATGTGATGATCAATTTGAGTTTCCCACTTTCTGAGCTGTTTCAAGGATAATGATTTGGCATCTGACTGGAGAACTAAAAATGCTTGCAAATTTTATCAGGCTGTTGAGCTGGAGGCTGAAGCTTATCCACTGCTAGATGAGTTAACGGCCAAAATCAGTACCCTTGACTTGGAGCGTGCTCGACGCCTAAAGAGCAAGCTGGTTGCATTGACTAGGAGGGTCCAAAAGGTAAATGGACTTCCATTATGTTTTTACTGCTCTTATTAGTTAGGTTGTCAAACAGTATCCGTTTCCAGTCTTAAGAAATGTCCAATTTTCACCATTAAGGTCAGAGATGAGATAGAGCAATTGATGGACGACGATGGTGATATGGCTGAAATGTACCTCACGGAAAAGAAGATGAGGATGGAAGCATCATCATTGGACGAGGAGGGCCTTCAAGGAGTTGCTGGAAATAATGCCTTCGGTGCATCCGTCTCTGCTCCAGTTTCACCAGTTTCGTCGCCCCCTGCGCCCCGGCGGCTTGAGAAGCAATTTAGTTTTGCTAGAAGCAGGCACAGCAGCTTCAAGAGCTCAGAGAGCAGTCAATATAACATAGAAGAACTGGAAATGTTGCTGGAGGCTTACTTTGTGGTTATTGACTACACTCTCAGCAAATTAACTTCGGTATAAAGCATGAACTGTCTTTTAGTTAGCCTATTGTTCAATTGATTTCTCTTTTAAGAAATACATTAGCTGACAATTTTGCTATTTACATTATTTTTTTCCAGCTGAAGGAGTATATTGATGACACAGAGGATTTCATCAATATCCAGCTGGTATATTCCCCTGATTTCATACTGTATCATTTGAACATGCCTATTGCTCAACTTTCAGATGAAGAATCACGTTAAAAGAAGTTGTTTCTCATTCAAATCAGCATGTTTCACTTTGCCTGGTTTTACACCAAAGCGAGAAAATGATATGCCGGTTACCATGTGTTATTACAAGATTGATATGTAGCTTCTTGGTGGCACATTTCTGGATAGGTAATACTGTTTATTTTGTAATTAAAACACACAAAGAGATTCAGTTTGACAGACATAATAGTTGTTGTCCCCCACTCAAATGGAAATGATAAGTTAACTTAGAAACAAACATTAGTAAGCAAGGTTGAATAACTTGTATTTTACTGTTCGTGGGAACATCAGGATGATACAGGCAAGATAGTAAGTACTCAATATAAACCATAAATGGTTGACAAGTAACACAAGTTAATACACTAATTATAGCCTGGTACTAGAAAATACTTCCTGTGGCTTTATTTATTTATTTATCATATATTAGACTTATCTGTTTAGACATTTTTTTCTTTGACCACTCTTTTGTTCCTGAATTAGGACAAGCAGTAGCTGATCTGATATAGTCACTACCTCTGTTTTTGAGTCGCCGACTAATCGCCGAGTCGTCGCCGCGTGGCTGGCTCGCGCAGGCGACTTGACTCAGGGAGCGAGTCGCGCGACTCGCGTGGCTCGCCGGCGACTTGGTGCGATTAGTCGCGCGACTCGCTGGCTTGCTGGCTTGCGTGGCTTGCTGCTGATGTATATGTGGGGACTGGGGAAGGAGGAGGACTGAAGGAAAGAGAGCGCAGGGTGGGCTCTATATGTGCCCTGCTTAGATGTAGTATATGAAAGAGAGCGCAGGGTGGGCTCTATATGTGCTCTGCTTAGATGTAGTATATTTTCTCTGCTGTATATGTGCTCTGCTGCTGCTGTATATCTATGTTCTCTGCTGCTCTATGTACTGTTGTGCCATGGCGACTTGGGGCGACTAATCAAGCCAAGTCGCTGACTCAAGCCAGCAAGCCACTAGCCGCAGCCTCGGCGACTTGGCTTGACTCGGCGACTCAAAAACCTTGGTCACTACTCACTAATAGCCTGGTGTGATGAGATATTAGTTTCTTAAGAGTTAAGAACATTGATGAGATGCTAGTTTCTTAAGAACACTGATGAGATTCTAGTTTCTTAAGTGCACTGATGACTTGATGAGATACTAGTTTTTTAAGAACATTGACGAGATACTAGTTTCAGTTGACCAGTCATTTGATGCTGCGAGTAACCTTTGGACAAAACAACTTTGTTTCATGAAGGGGATAAAAGGATAGAATAAAGGGAAAGGGCTATCTTAGGTGACAGTAATAACAAATGTGGAACCAATGAAAAACTTTCTTTCGGAGCAAGTTGATATGTGGTTGTCATGTTACAATGGCTGGTGATGGCTGATGGTTGACACATTTCATCCATAATGCCTGTCATATTTTTCTCTATGGTAGATGCGTTCATGGTTTAAGACTATCTTTTTTTTAAAGACATTTAAGACTATCTTTTTTTTAAAGACGTTTAAGACTATCTTGGATACCGGGAACATCAAACTGTAGTTAGGTTCAGTAATACCACTAGAGAATAGGGTGTTCTTTCATGTGTTTGATTACCATTTTTTATGATCTTGACCGAAAAAATGCTTACATGATGATTCTCACGAATGCTGTTATTGCAGGATAATGTCCGGAACCAACTGATCCAGTTCGAGCTGCTGCTGACCACCGCTACGTTTGTGGTAGCCATCTTCGGGGTTGTCTCTGGGGTCTTCGGCATGAACTTTGAGGGGGTCGCTGTGCTTAAAGTGCCTCACGCTTTTGAGTGGACGCTCATCATAACGGGTGTTTGTGGCGCGGTCATATTCGCCTGCCTCCTGTGGTACTTTAAGAAGAGAAGGTTCTTCCCCTTGTAAAATGTATTCTTGCAACCTTCTGCTGCATGTTGCAGAAAGCAGCATTCGGCAGTTCATTATTTTACCAGCTTCGCTGGCGTGCAATTGTACATACTTTTTCTCCTTTGTTCCAGTGAATATACACAATGTTGGAGCTGCATTGGCTGTAGCGTGTGCATCTGATATCGATTTTGAAGCTTCCTGTCTCAATGGGTTAGCTTCACACGTCTGGACCGTCTGATAAGCATTGGCATCTCCAAGAGGTTTTATCTAATATATCATCCCACATTTGTGCGTGACACGTCTGGTTGTTTTCACGAACACCCTTCGTCTTTCCTCAAACTATGTGTCCTCCAATTGCATTCTCATCCCTTCAAAATTCAACCATCATACTATGAAGGCATCACAGATATATACCCCCCAGATATTTATTCCATTATTACTATTGATGCTTCCTTTGAAGAGACTTCCTCGGAGGCATCTGATTCGGCTTGCTCGATGGTGTTGACCATGGCCGCCTGGCTCAGGTGGCGAGCACCTCCTCCATTGCTAGGGCGGTTTGATGGGCGGTGTGTGCCTCCTCCACTAGGTATCCTCCACCTCGGCGGTGGCGGCGTGCTCCCTCACGATTGAGGTGGCAGACCTCCTCCATGGCTCGGGCGGTGCACAACTCCTTGGCGGCTTGTTGGAAAATAGGGCATGAAGTTGAGAGGCGCCATGGCGGAGGTCCTACAGGGATAGGAAAGGGCACACCATTGGATGATTTTTTTTCTGTTGGGTCCATGTGTCATGGTTAAGATAAGTCTAGACTCCCGGGCAACCCATTTCTCCCCACATATGGATTGGTTGGGCGAGTAGGGATTGTCCGGACATTTGTATTGGGCATGGGAGAGCTGGGCAATCGTTTTCGTGTGTGGGCATGTTGAGACTGTCCGCCCGACATACACGTGGAAGAAGCCTTTGGATGGGTTTGGCTCGGGTGCAGGGGTCACAACACGGATTAATATACAGGGCCAATAATCAAGTGACACATGTCCCAGTGGGACCATCAGAAAAGACATTTTTATTTCTCTCTTTTTATTCTACCAGTTTCCTGGTTCTCAATCTTCTACTCCACCATTAATCAAGGGTAGAGACCATGAAGCTTTACGTCCTATGAAATCAACGTTTGTAATACTAGGGTGCTTCCTCGAGAGAGTAGCTAGCTGTCATCCCATTGACGACGACGCCCCCGGCCGCCGGCCGCCACACAAATGAAACTCCCCGCGCCGCATGAAGCCGGACAAGACAGAGGACGTGCCGCTCCGCCGCTCCAACTCACCTCCATGCACGAGGACTGTGAATTCAACGCATGAGTGCTGCCATCTCCATTACGTAAGGAACCATGGTCCAATCGCTGCTTTTTTTGGACCGAAGTCTAATGGCTACGTGCCCCTCAGCCTCGCGACGTCTTCCTCCGCGGCCCCGCCTTGGCTGCCCACACCATCACCTCAGCCTCACGCCGCCGCAGCCTTGGCCACGATCAGATTCATGGTCTCTAGTCTAGAAGAAGAACGAAGAAGATTGAGAATCAGAAAACTCCTAGAAAAAAAGGCCTTATTAGTTGGTCCCACCAGAACACGTCTCACTTTATTATTTGCTCTGCACGTTAATCCATGCGGTGAACCCTGCACATGAGCCGAACCCGAGATGCTGTTAGGTGTGCACTGCTCCTTCGGAAGAGAAAAAGGTGCAAGTGGTAGTATTAACCGGCCTGTCTTGTTCTATCAAGAAAGTACTCGCCGGTTCCCCGGCATCGTCCCACACAGAAAAAAAGAGCGTGGAGCCCCGGCCCAACCTGTAAGTCCACTAACGTAAAGTGAGGAGTTGAGTCTGAACTGGTGAACCGAAGTCACTTTCGTAATCATACTTCCTACAGCTAACACGTGTCCAGTTCAGTGGAAACGCGAAGCACAAACGAACATGAGCTGTTATACCGAATCCCCCGCTGGCCATCGGGGACCTAGTGGTAAGGCCATGATCCGCGGGGAAAAGGAACGATCAGCAATTCAGCGTTGCGTCTTCTTCTTCGGCGGTACACGCTACTACCTGTGACCTAGGTGGGTGGTACCAGTACGCTACCGTTAGTTAGCAGCACATGACATGACATGACATGTAACGTACATCCAGCAAATGCGAGAACGAAATGTGCCACAAATCGAGCCGCTCGGGACCAAGCTTCCGGTCCGGTGGTGCTGACGTTCTTGCTGTTGGCAGTGACGAGGACAAGTACGACGGTGTCATCGTCTGTTCTACAAACGCCCTATTTTTCTGTTTTGTGAAGTCGCGTCAATTCATTGGAGCGGATCGCATGGCCTAATCATCGTATACTCTAAAAATACCGATTCCGTGTTGATCAGGCCGGTGGTCAGAACGCGCTGGTTTCCAATCTCCTGATAGCGAATAATGGAACGTGGTTACTCAATGTATGATTGATTTGTGTCTACATAGGAGCAACTCCAACACGCCGATTCATTTCGTCAGCACATATCTGTTTGGATTAAAACAAATATAAAAATCGGCTCAACGTGCCGACCCAAACGCACGTCCGCTTTTCGTCCGCCGAACGAGCCATTTCTGACCCAAATTTGGGCGTCATTTGCGTTTGCGCGGATACAAGGCGGACGCGCGAAGCCCGCCTACTCCTCCCTCTGGCCCACCAATCGGTGGCATATAGGTCATTCTCTTCCTCCCATCGACATCAAGCCCCCGACCGCCCCCACCCCGTCGCCAATGCCGCCCAGTTTCGGTGCCATCGCCAGCAGTCCGCACCCACATACATCCCCCGTAGAATGCCACCTTCCCACGTCGTCGCCACTACCGCCTCGTCGTCGGGCCACCACAGCACCACCTCGCCCCCGCTTCCCCGACCCGCTCCTTCGACAACGCCGCCACGCTCGTCTGACACCGCCATGCTCGCCGGACGTCGTCTAGCCAGCTAACTAGTCCAGGGGAGGCGCGCGTCTCTTCACCGATCAGTTTCTTCGACGACGCCCGCAAGTTGTTCGACGGTTTGCCCGCAAGGTAAACATGGACTCTGCCGACGAGTTCTTTTTCCATAATTTCCTCTGCGACTCGGATGATTCTTCATCCAACGAATGAGGAGATGGTGGTTGTTGTGTTGGTCGTCCATGACCACCTTAGTAGGCAACAACCGTTGTTCCGGGGCTCGATCCCGGGGCACACTGCGGCGTTGAATCGCAACCGAGAGAGCGGTCATTTTCTTCTTTGGAATGACTACTTTGAGACACCCAACCCTCTCTTCAAACATCACCAATTACGGCGCCGTTTCGTATGGCTAAGCATGTTTTCAACCGTATTCGAGAGGGGGTGGTCAGATACGATTAGTATTTCGAGTGCAAGGAGGATGCACTTGGAAAGATTGGCTTCTCCTCATATCAGAAATGCACCGCAGCAATCTGGATGCTTGCGTATGGAGTTCCCGATAACCCACAAGTATAGGGGATCAACTGTAGTTTTTTTAATAAATAAGAGTGCCGAACCCAACGAGGAGCTAAAGGTAGAATTTATATTCTCTTCAAGTTCTATCGACCATCGATACAACTCTACACACACTTAATGTTCGCTTTACCTATAATAAGTATGAAACTATTTTGTAGGTGATAGGATATATTTGCACCGATAAAACTAGAAGTACTTAGCAGAAATAAAACTACGAGTAATTTACAAGATAATAAAAGTTAGTTATTTAGTAGAAAACTTTTTGTAACATAAGAGAAGGATTTGTCCCTAGGTAATTGATAACTAGACCGATAATCATTATTGTAATTTTATATGAGGGAGAGGCATGAGCTAACATACTTGTCGTACTTGGATCATATGTTACTTATGATTGGAACTCTAGCTAGCATCCTCAACTACCAAAGATCATTAAGGTAAAACTCAACCATAGTATTAAGTAACAAATCCTCTTTACTCCCAGACGCAACAACCCCTTTACTCAGGTATGTGTTTCTTCACTCACGCCACCCACTAGAAGCGAATCAAGAATGTATTGCTACACCCTACAGCGGTAATCCCACACGTTTGCACGACACGAAGGGCATCATAGGACAACACCAAAATAAAACATACAACTCAAACCAGTCATGATCATCAATCAACCCATAGGACAAAACAAATCTACTCAAACATCATAGGATGGCTGTAACACCCACGATGCGGCTATATCTCCCACGTGTCGGAGCACGACTTGGAGGCATAACCACATGGTAGGCAATGTCGCAAGAGGGATAATCTTTACACATCCCATGTACTGAACAAGAAAGAGGTACAGAGTTGGCTTACAATATAGCATTACATCATCCAGAATACAATCAAGGCCCAACTACGGAACCAAATAAAGAAAGATAACCCCTAATGCAAAAGATCCCCGATCGCCCCAACTGGGCTCCACTACTGATCAACTGGAAACGAAAACAACACACCGCACACGATCTTCATCGAGCTCCTCCTTGAGCTCGGTTGCGTCACCTGCACGGTATCATCAGCACCTGCAACTAGTATTGGAAGTAATCTATGAGTCACGGGGACTCAGCAATCTCACACTCTCGCGATCAAGACTATTTAAGCTTATGGGTAGGGAAAAGGTATGAGGTGGAGCTGCAGCAAGCACTAGCATATATGGTAGCTAACATACGCAAATGAGAGCACGGAGAGAAGACAAAGCACGGTCAAGAATCTATGATCAAGAAGTGATCCTAGACTACTTGCGTTCAAGCATAACTCCAACACCGTGTTCACTTCCCAGACCCCGCTGAGAAGAGACCATCACGGTTACACACGCGGTTGATGCATTTTAATTAAGTTAAGTGTCAAGTTCTCTATAATCCGACATTAACAAATTACCATCTGCCCATAACCGCGGGCACGGCTTTTGAAAGTTCAAAACCCTGCAGGGGTGTCCCAAATTAGCCCATCACAAGCTCTCACGGTCAACGAAGGGTATTCCTTCTCCCAGG